GACAGGGGGAGTTCTTTGCCTGTCTGTGTGTATAAGCTTTTGAGATGTGTTTTTACAAAGTTTACATGTTCAACATGTAGCTTGTGTTGTAGTTTTATTCCTCTCTCCAATTGAATTTGTTTTTGGTTGTTTTAGCCAAAATTTGTCAAAGGGGAGAGATTATTAGTTTCATGGTTGGCTAAATTTTGGCTAAGTATAGTTCTAAGTATGGTTCTATGTTGGTGTTGAGTAAGATGGTGCAACATCTTTATCAACAGTCATAACAGGTTTTGTTGTATTGAGTTTTGCCAGATGTCACAGAAGATGTTATGACATCCTGAGGCTGATGCAGCAAGCGCTGTTTTTGGATATCCTTGAATATTTGATTTGAATATATGAGTATTTGGAATATTCCTCATTATATGCGTAGGCCAGTCAAAGATTTTGTTAGAAACAAGTACAAATTTGATTGGTTACTAAAAAGGATCGACTGAGACTTTTTAGGAAACTATTTATGAAGATTATTTCTATTTTTGTGGAGAATATTTTGCAGATATTTTTGAGCTAAAGATTGGAGTTTCTTGAAGAATCCAAGCTAGTCCAAGCCCAAATGTAGAAGCTTATATAAGGAGTCATCCAAGACCTAGTTTTTTAGCATAGTTTTTATTGTAAAACCTTGTGAAAAATAAGGGTTTAGGTTTTGACAGTTCCTTAGGTTCTGCGTGTGTTTTTTGTACATCCTCATGTATCTCTAATACATTTGAGTTGACTGGTTATTGCTTGTTCATCAAGCTATTGTTCTCCTCGAAGCTATGAAACAAAAGTTGAGTATTGTTCTTGAAGGAAACTTTTAAGCAACTTCGAGTATTTGATTGGGAAGTATGTTCTTCCTGTTTTATTGTTCAGGTTTCTATGAATGTGATATGTTTTGAGATAACCCCTATGATTGAGATATGTATTTTATCAATGTGGTGATTGGAAGTGGGATGTCAATTTCTCATATCTAGGGATGACCTAGGTAGAAGTTACACTGGGTAGATATTAGGCACAAAGTTTTAAGCTTGGGACTAGTTTAGCTTCAAACTAATACTGCTTATAATGGATTTTCTTCCTGCCTTGGTAGTCCTCCAGAGTAGGTGAGTTAGCACTGAACTGGGTTAACATATCGTGGTGTTCTTTCTTTTTCTGCAAGTTATAATTCTATTGTGTTATTTTTTGTTGTGTTGTCAGTAGATGTCATAACATTTATTGTGATATTGTGTGTTGTTAAGACAACAGTCTTGACTTTTGTTTGTGTGCGTGCCAAAATTTCACCAGGGAACATAGAGGAGAAATCTTTTTGTAGTGTTTCAAGGTCTCAGGAAAAGTTGACATGGTCAACAAGTGAAAGAAGCAAAGTCAGTAAGACAGAGTCGGATAGACCTGTGTTAGCATCTAGAAGGGGGACCATTTGGAAGTCAAAGACCAAGATTTGTCGAGTTATATTAGTAATTTGGGCCATTTTGATCCAAACGCACATCAAAATGAAGACTTGGCTTTAGGGCAACCCTCGAGTTCAATAAGGCCGAAAATAAAATAAAAAGTTAAAAAATAAATTCATTTGGGTCTTAGGGTAGATTCAGATTTAGTCAACTTTCCTATTTTTCTGCATTAAGACCACCAAAACCTAAGTCCTCTTCTAAATCAAAGTTAGTCCCACATAAATCTCAATCTAATTTCAAGAAAGCTTCTCCATCGAAGATTAAGGATGTTGATAACTCTATTTCGAATATTCAAGAAGATCAATACTCTATAGGCTCAATTTTGTGTTGCGATTCCACCACTGATTATGATGTTGTTCAAGGTAATAAGCAGTTTTGGGCTATCAAAGACTCAAATTTAGCGGAGAAAGTTTGGGAGGCTATTTTGACGATAGGAATTGCAGAACCGGGAGATAAATGAGTTTATGTAGAAGTGTTAAGAGGGATGGATTTAAGAGGCTAAGTAAGGAGGTGAAAATCAAAGGTTTACAATGAATATCTCATTCTTCAACATTAGAGGAGACGACAATCGGGTAAAGAGAAATATGCTTTCTCAAATTATTCAATCAGGTAACACTAATATTTGTTTTCTTCAAGAAACTAAATTAGGTTTTTTCATAGTCAGTTAGCTTTTAGTTTTTGGGGTTCTAAGGAGGTGGATTGGACGTATAATGGGTCCTTAGGGGTGTCTGGGGGTAAGGTGATTTTGGTCACAAATACTTCTTGAGTAAAATATTTTCACGATCACGTCATCAACGTAAACTTCCAGGTTACGTCCTATATGTTTTGTGAACACCATAAATATTAGTCGTTGGTAGGTGGCATTAACGTTCTTGAGCCCAAAAGGCATGCCATTGAAGTAATAATTGTGTGGTTGAACATGAACATTATCTTGGGAGCGTTTATGATATCCATTTTATCTGGTTGTTCCCATAATAGGCGTCCATGAAACTCAAAATTTTGTAGCCCGAAGATCCTTCAATCAAGCGATTTATATTAGGGAGGGGATACAAATCTTTAGGACATGTGACATTAAGATTCATGAAGTCGACACACGTACACCTATTGTTTGAAGCCTTCCTTACAAAAACCATATTAGCTAGCCAAGAAGGATATTTAATCTACTTTGTAAAACCAATATTTGTTAGCTTCTGAACTTCATCTTCAATGGTTGTTCTCTGTGCCCATTAGACAATGGATATTTTAAGCTTAAGTGGTGTGTGGACATGACTGCCCCCACCTGATGCAAGATGGGTCTCCCTAGGAATCCTGTGTATGGGAATATGGAACTTACTACGAGATACTTTACTTTTATGGCCATGGCACTCACCCCTAAACCTATTGTAGTCTCAAGGGTAATGTTTCCCTTGACCTGTACTTGCTCGCTGAACAGACCGATCAAAGATCCATAGAAAAATCAAATATTATGGGGATTTATCTGGAACCTCTAGAAGGTACTCCAAAAGAGAATATTTGTGGAGCTTCCAGGGTCAATTAGCACCCTTTTTATGTTCCATCCGGTGCGTTCAATCATGATTATTATAGGATCATTGTTGTGTGGGAGTATGCCTACAATGTCTTATCTTGTGAAGGTGATTTTAGTCTCCTCATTTGTGTTGAAGATGTTGAGGGATTCTAAGGGTGTGATGTCTGTTTCTAACACTTGACAATCATATCTTCTCCAGGAAGAACTATGCTATCCCCATCCAACGAAACCTCCAACAATGGTGTAAGTAGTCTTCTAGGAACTTTGCTCGAGCATCCTTATGGGAAGATGGTGAGAGAAACTCATGATAGGATGATATGTGTGTGGCCCAGGTTTTGTTTACCCAAGTGCCACTGTGGTCGCCAATTGTACTGGATAAAAGTAAAATAAGGGTGACAAACCCTAACGGGTAAGGGATGTCAGGATTTTGGGGTTTATTGAGGATTAAAGCTAGCCAACATGGTGAAGTGAGTAGCTTAACACACATGGTTTGTTTATGTTATATATTTATCCTAATCTCATGTTAATGACCCTATATTTATAGCTCTCAAGGGGTCTTGAATCGATTGAACCAAGTTTCCCTAGAATATAGTAAACCCTCACGGGAGTGAGTGATTGATACCCAAAAATTTAGGAGATGCAATTAATCCTCATGATTTCCTAGGCACCAGTTGTTGACTCAATACACACTCCTCATTCGATCATACATCATGGATGGATAAATGAGAAGTTGTACGATGAATCCAGACAAGGGACAATCAAACCAGATGAAGGACCCTCAAACTAATACATGGACGACTCGAGAAAGCTAAAATGTATGCATCTCACCTTCACCTCAAGAACGTCCTCAATTATTCCACTATAGGTATTAATGGCGGCAAACACATGTAATAGTCACTTAATTATTAACTATCATCTATCTTGCAACAACATGAGCACTCAACTATCACTAAGTTTTTTAATGAGTTTGACAAACTGTAATAATTTTTTTTGAATTCCAAGCTTATAAACTCAAAGATGTGGAAATCATCACAACTATATCTTCTTTCACAAAAGCTGATTCACAACATGTGTTTACTATGTAAATTTTCAAATGCATTTTAAATAGTAATCATTACCAAAGTTTGAATAATTCAAGTGTAGAAACATAAGCATTGTCAAATTAACAAATAAAATATAATTAACAACTAAAATTAAGGTTTAGTTAACCAATACATTAACAAACCAATTGAATTATGCATACTGACAACAAAATTTAAATAAACAACCATCATCACTAAAACATAGATAAAAGGAAGTATAAAAATAAGTATTTTATAGTATATAGTAGAGAAAGAAATTAAACAAAAAAAAAAAACAGAATATAAAAGTATGATAAAAACTTTGTCCCCAAAACATCATCACATATATCATTAGTTTTATGTTGGAATTATTGTACAATATAACAAATAATAAATAGTAGCATAAAAATAACTATTCAAATACACAAAATTTACTAGAATTTCATCCATCTCTACACATAACTTTGTTGGTGGCATCCCTTCTTTTTCTTTTTTCAAAATTATCCATATTTGGAAGGAAAATATGAGACTAAAATAAGAAAATAAATAAAGGTAAATGGAAAAAAGAAATACAAAAATAGGACAACAACAACCATCAAACCTTATCCTATTTAAGTGAGTGGGATACATGGCTAACTTTTTCTATAATGACATCTTTTATAGTTTTTTGAGTTAATGAAACAAGACTCTCTATAATACTAACGAAATTTCACCTTAACAACGTTTTGACGCGGTTAAACTCACGATTTTCATCCACCAAACATCGTATTAAGAATATTGATATCTAGCAGTTTTGTTGAAGGAATATGATGGCGGACAGGATGTCGTGACATCACAAGGTGAAAATCTAGTTAGAGAATATAGTTAGTTATGATAATAATTTAGTAGTTTAGTTACTATATAAAGGTCTAATATTTCTCACAATTTTTCTCTATTGTAAATTTCACTTTTAACTCAATATACTAGATTCTTGAGAATTCTTTCTCCTTCTTCCATGGATGCCATGTTTTCTAACACATCACAACAACTACAACAACATTGAAGCAACATCACCAACAACAATAACTCGACAACTTCGAAGCATTGATGAGTGTTTGAATGAATTAATATTGCATGCACTTCGAAGCACGCACTTCTGTTATAATATTGCATTATTTGCCTAAAAACAATAATTACTGATATATTATTTTGGTATACAAACTTAATCCATTCTAAATCAGCACTTTGGTTGTATTGAATATCGATGAATTTCCTTTTGTCCATTAAAGTCATTAATTGATTGAGGGTTTCTCTTAATGGAAGAATTACCTCAAACACATTTAAGCAAAATGTTGAAAAAAACATTGGAAATAACATCAATCATAATAAATCACTTTTTCATCTCTGTTGATTTATGTTGAACACAAAGTTTCATCGAATTTCATCCATCTTTATACTTATCCTTGTTGGTGGTATCCCTTCCTTTTCATTTTCAAAATCATCCTTGTTTGTAAGAAAAACATGAAACTAAAATAAGAAAATCAAATAGAGAGATAAATGGAAAGAAAAATAGAAAAATAACACAACAAAGAACAAAAAATAATAATAAAACATCTATGTTCATAAAACATCATCATATATCACATAGATTCCTTGGAATGATAATAGACTTCATAAGTGTTCAAGAATAACTCATAAAAAAAGAAAAAATACCTATTTTAGTCCCTTAATTATAGATTATAGTTTATTTTAGTTCCTTGTCTTTTTTCGTGTTAAATTGATTCTTTAATTTTTAAAATGATACAAAAAAATCACTTCCGTCTATTTAGTTAGTCAAAGTCCGTTAAAAATCTACGTGACACATTTGATCAACTGCTGTGACGGAGTTAGCGTCGAAAAAATCGACGTTAAAAACTATTTCTAGATTTTAATTAGTGTTCATCTCCTTCCCCAAACTTTTCTGCATTTTAATTTTTGACAGCTCATATGTAGATCTAATCCCTACTAAATCAACACATGAAACATGCACAAGAATTGGATGAACACTTTAGCATAGAAATTTGTTCCCCCTTTCATTTTCATAATCCTCTATCTTCTAAATCAGCACTAAAAAGAGAGTAACAATAAGTACAATCTCTCATTCCAAAACACATGCATTGAGATAATAAATACCTGTCGTAATATGGAGAGTAGATCCTCGCCCATACAATACTCCAAGACCAATCATAAATAGAAGTTTCATACATAAAAATCATAAATACACAAAACCTAACAACTGAGTCGGAAAAATACAAATCCTAGCACTAATTAAGAATAAAAAAGTAAACAATAGTTTCGGATAATTAAGCCACAATAGCTCAAGATACATAGCTCAAGATTTGGTAGAAAACTCTAAAACTGGTTTGAATGCTATAAATAATTAATTAACAAGAATAATTTTGGTAATTAAGCAACATTAACTCACTTCTTGAAGAACCGTATTTTTCTGAGATTTATCAACACTTTTGATGGAGAAATACTCGATCGCCTTCTTCTTTCTACCTTTATACACGGTCTGCAAATTCATGAAAGAAAAAGAGTGAGATCGATCGCGAGTTGAAAATGAAAGGGGGGAAGAAGAGTTAAGTTGAATATGAGAGAAGCTTTTTTGGTGCTTTTTGACAGTGTGTTTGTCTTGTTAACGTTTAACATGATGTGTTTTACTTTACGGTCGGTGATTTAAAGTTCAATCTCGTGACCAAAAATGTACTCTTTCCATAAATGTATTGGTTGTTGTTAACAAATAAAAAACCTCATCAAAAAAGTTTTAAAAAAATAATGAAGTATTTGCAAACTATTTACTTTATGTGTTGATTTAGTAGAGGCTAGATCAAATGAGCCATCAAAAATTAAAATGCAGAAAAATTTAGAGAAGGAGATGAACACCAATTAAAATTCAGAAATAATTTTTAGAGTCGATTTTTCCCACACTAACTCTGTCACAATAGTTGGTCAAATGTGTCGCGTAGATTTTTAACAGACTTTAACAAACGAAGTAGACGAAAAGGACTTGTTTACATCATTTTGAAAATTAAATAACTAATTTGAAAAGAAAAAAAAGATAAAGGACTAAAATAAACTATGACATATAGTTAAGGGACCAAAATAGATATTTGACCTAAAAAATAAAATAGAACTTATAAAATTGCTATTTGAAAAAAAAAGAAAAACATAATAAGAAAACGTTATCTTTTTGTTGTTGTCGTGTATCTTCAGTGTTGAACGACGATGAATTTCCTTTTGTCTAATAAAGTCATAAATTGATTGAAGGTTTCTCTTAGTGTAATAATTACATATCAAACCCATTGAAGCTTGTTGATTTATGTCTAAGAGGGAATGTTGAGAAATGTGAAGATCTAAAAAATGAAATAGCATACAATTTTTTTTAAATGCAATAGAATACAAAGGATCTGATAGATGAAGATATCATTACATTTGGGTTGCTTGATGTTTCTTTTAGCAACAACCGAATCAAAAGATCTAAGAGTGAGTATGTTCGAAGAAGCTATTCTCTAAATCAAAAATGAAGTTTTTCATATTTGAATTCTTGAAGTTGTTATGATAATGAGCATTAAAATATAAAATTAAAATCCTATAAAGTTTTGTGAGGGTAAGAGAAAATTACACTTAAGAGAAGGAAAGGAAGGAAGAGAAAAAAATGGTGGAATCATGTAATGTCTCAAATTATTTGGTTAGAAAGCACTCGGTGGTAAGCTTCATATCCTCGTCCAAATAGTAATAAAAGTTAGGCTAAATGTGTGAAAATACCAAAATAGAGGGGGAAAAGAGCGTGTATCAAAATTTAGAGTAAATGCAAATTGATACTATCAAATGTATTAGACTATAATAGATAGATAGATAGATAGATAGATAGATTTTTCATGTCTGCGAGAAATGAAAAGAATCTCAAATGAGCTAGAAAGGCTCCCGTTTATATATGACTGGGAGAGTGTGCTTGGTGAAAACAGTCACTCAAAGCATGCTCACCCACACATTGTCTTTTTATTCATGGCTTATTGCCCTGTTGAAATTTATAGAAAAAACTTAAAGTTATTTTATTTGGAGTGGGTCCATTACCAATAAGAAATTGTGCATGATTTCTTGGAACAAGATGTGTAGACCCAAAAATCATGGAGAGTTGGGTCTCAAATCCTTTTTTAGGCTTAATGAAGCTACCAAAAGGATGTTGGATGAGATCTTCTCACAAGTAAGGAATCTTGGGTCACGAATCTGAAAGCTAGAGTTCTAAAGCATTATGGAATAATCAAATATCATTTTTTCTCCTCGTTGTGGTTCACCATCAAAACTAACTGGACCAATCTCACAAACCACTATAGTTGGGTTTTAGGTAGAGGTTCTCATATTAATTTCTAGATGGACAACTGGTGTAACCCTCTTTTGACTTTAGAATCTTCTTTTGAAGCCCTTATAACATGTGGCATTTCTACCGGCACTAAAGTGCAAGATCTCATCTCTAATGGGGTTTGGTTAACTCCTACCACTTGAAATTATTTGTTTCCTTTCCTAGAACAAAATTTTATCCAAAACCCTCCAATGACACTATGGTTTGGCCTTTATGTCAATTAGGCGTGCTCACCCTTAAAGATGCATACAACTTCAAAGTTCCTTTAATTCTTGAACATTTGGCAAAAACTAGTTGGAGTTTGAATATTCCCCCTGCAAGACAATTTTTTTTTGGAGAATAGATAAATTTTATTCCACAAAACAAATTTCATATGGAAGCTCATGCTAGATAAAGTTTTAACTTATGAAAATTGTTCTGGACAGGGCCTGTCCATGGACCAAATCACCAGTAAGGCCCAATCCAAATTGTGCCACGTGTTATGCTGGGCATTAGATCCTCCGAGCATACCCGGTCACGGGCTATAAGACTAATACGATCATGCCCGCCGCTGCCCACGACGAGAGACGTCCCCGACGAGAGACGCCCCTGACGAGGAACATCCCAATCTGAGCCTTGCTCGAGTACCCTCCTCGTAGGGCGGACTCTCGATTCCTCCGGATGTTTCAGAGTTTTCAGGGTCCCGAGAAGACCGCGTCTTCACCCTCCTTATTCTTAGGAGAGCATCATCCAGGTAGGGGACCACGTGCAGGTCCCCACTACTCACGTAGAATATGGCAGTCTCTTTGTTGGGCCTGTTTTGGTCAGCCCAATAAAGAGACCTTGGCCCAGCGTTGGAGGCTATAAATACCCTCTATTTCAAGAGGGTCAGGTATTCATTCATTCACACCTACATACAATTCGCCTGCTCATTCTATCTCCCACTTTATCATCGGAGTGTCTTGCAGGTACCCCCCCCCCCCCATCTCCTTTAAATTCAGTTCGAACCAGCTGTGACGGTCCAATTCTGATTAGGTACGATCAGTGGCGCCGTCTGTGGGAAACTAAGCTTCCCCGTCTTACAAACTTACAAAGACCAAAGATAAAACCATCCTCGACCGTCATGGCTGACCAGATTCAGAACAACCAGAACGTCCGCGTCGTTGAAGCTTACAACAACCTCACCGACAAAAATGGCGGCCCCGACAACACCGACATCGTTGGCCATAGCATACTCCCCAGGGGCACCGTCCCCGGGCCCTCTAACTACCGGGACGGAGCCACGGCTTCATCTTCATCAGTCCCCCCTCGGCTCGAAGAAGATAATCCAGTTCCCCCGAACTATCAAGCCGCCCAATTCCATGAAGTCCTTGTCCCCGCTGGTGCAGACGCCATGACCAGGACACTGTTTGCGGCAATCAACCAGACCAACTACCTCATCTTTGCCCAAGGAGAAAGACTGAGAGCACTAGAGGACGACATAAGGCCCCCGAGGAGACACATGAGGCCACAATCCCCACCTCCTCGAAGAATGGAGGAACTTCCCCGGTCTCCCTCGCGGAGACAGGACCGGGACATCTCCCGAAGCCCGTCGCCCCGACCACCTGGGCGGAGACCCACCTTGGAGAGAGAACCACTCTTTGAGACTGGAAGGCGCGACCACGGCCCTTCACGGCAAGAACGAAGACCTCCCGGAGACAGACATAGAGGAACCTATCAACGGACACATCGCTCGAGGAACGTCCAGCACGACCAGAGCCATCGTGATCGATAATATATCAGATCCCCGTCCCGCTCCCCGGAACAAAGTGATGAGGACAACCCCCGCGGTCTCCTATCACAAGCTATCATGGAGGCGCCCATTCCCCCGGGCATGGAGAAGCCTCCACACCTGAAAGAGTATGACAGAATCGCCGACCTGGTCGATCACATAGACGGGTTCGAGGTCATGCTGCACTACCACAATGTCGGGGAACCAATCAAATGCCGGTTGTTC